GACTTTTTGGAACGATAATGTTGATTGCAAAGAGAAAGAGGGAAAACTTTTACATCTCATAGATAGAGAGGAAGAGTGATCAGTGTATGTCGAATATCCATTGATTTTCGAATGTTTCTTCCAGTTTCTCCTGGTAGACAAAGTGAATCACGGATGGGAATAACAAACAGAAACTGACTTTATGAAGGGGCCTACTCCTGGGCTCTCTGAACTGAGTCAATGCGCGAGAATTTAAAGAGTGATAATGAAGGAGATGAAAACAACTAATACTCTAATAATTCACACCAGCAAAAAAAATTTTTTTGAAACCACAATCGACCCAAGCTCCAGGTGTTCGGTGATCATCTTACAAAATAACAGTCATGGCGAAATTATAAGAGTTTGTATGGGAAAGTGAAATTCTCACGAAAAATACCTTACCTCACTTCCACAGTGTGTTGGTTGTTATCTGACCGCTTGCTACGTTGAATGGAACCCATTTTCGCGAGTAACGTAGCTACGTAGTAAGTAGTCAGATAATAGGCAATGCACTGTGGAAGTAAAGTGAGATATTTTTGTGAGAATTTTTATTCCTTAGAGCGGTCGTAAATATTCCCATACAAGTTCTTATAATTTCGCCATGACTGTTATTTCGTAAGATGATCATCTCATAGCTGGAACTTGGGTTTCCTGTGGTAAAACTGGGTTTGACTGAATGAAATTCTACGGTGGCTCACAACTGTCACGGCAAAAGAAAAAACCTCACGGAAAAAAGGAAAACACTCACGGCAAAAGAAAAAAACCTCACAGCAAAAAGAAAAGACTCACGGCAAAAGGAGGTTTGTTATTTTGCCGTGGGTCTATTCCTTTTGGCCGTGAGGTTCTTCCCTTTAGCCGTGAGTCTTTTTGTTTTTCTGCGAGGCTATTTCTTTCGCCGTGACAGTTGTGGGCCACCGAAAAAAATTAAGAAACACAGAACTGAAGAATTGAATTTTCCATAAGTTTCAAATAGCCACTAGCTTTATATTTCAATTTGCTTAATTTGAAGAACATTAACATCACTTTAAGCAGTTTCTATGAAGAAAACCATTTTCCAACCGTTTTTAACAACACAGACTCAAGCTTCCGTGTGAATGGGGTTTAAATTTAAAACCATGCTTTTGGTCAAAACGCCCCTTAAGTCGAAGGCCATGAGCTGCCGCCATGTTTACAAATCTGCGTGTGCATGCCAAATCCATAAAATGACGTCACGAAGATTCCAGTACTCCGGTCGTCGATAACGGTCAAGCAGCCGCGTCGCCTTGTCTTTTGTCCTTATGCTAAATCAGTTCGATTCCTGCGGTGAGTAGGATTTGTTTCAGTTTCGCTTGACTTTGTAGTAATTGACGCAGAATTGAAGAGTTTACTTTGAAGCTTTCACTGCCTCTTCCAAGGTAAAAGAATTCGATAAGTCAAACATATTCATTTTATCTACCTTTCGTGAATTAGCATGCATGTCTAACGAGTCGACATATTCCCAAGGATACCCTGACTCTAAAGCTGACGTTTCCAGTATGAGCCCCTCTTCATTCGCTCTGAAGAAGGGCTGCTGCTCGAAACGTCAGCCTGGATACTTCTTTACAGTGGCTAATTTACATTATAACTCAGTTGATAGAACCAAACTATCTTGTTATACCGACAGGGCACCAGCGCAGCACCATAGTTTCTTTAGAAATTTATTCCTTTTATTCATTTGTGACATGACACAAAAAACATCTTTCTTCATTCTATTACCGAGGGTTAGATTTAACATCTATTATTCTTTGACTTGAGATACAATGGGTAGAAAAGCGTTCGAAGCAGTTCTTAGAGACCCACTTGAAAGGTTTGTTATATGGAACGAAACTCGCGAAACGAGTGGCTGTTGGGTAAAATTTCTGCACAGCCCCATCCTACATTATACATTCAGTTCTTGAACAGAGAAAACAATAACAAAAACAATACACTTCCATTGGGAAAACAGATTTGTTTTACAATAGTATGGAGCGGTGCGGAAACTTTACCGACTTGTGTTGTTGGAAGTATGTTTTCAGTCGGCTTCGTTTGTCTCCAGGGTGTTGGTTTCGCTTTGCTTGATTAAGCCTGCTTAGTCCTCTACACGGCTCAAAAAAATTAATTGATGTAAACAACAGGATATGATTCCATGGCATGTAATAGTTGCTCTTCGGCGACGATTCCTTGCCCGAGATCTGATACCATTATTTGGAGACGAGCTCATCGTCGAATTTCAATCGACTCTCCCCACCGTGCTCGTCGAAATTTTTTAACGCTCGCCATCCTCTGCTCGAAGCTTCACTTCTGCGCTGCCGCGAGCTGCATTTCAATAAAGAATCCAAGAAATGATGACATATTGTTTTTCCACGGATCAATTCCATATCGGTCTTCCAAGAAATAATTGTCAGCAATTGAAGCCAGTCCAAATTAATTCAAGCGCAAGAATCGTCTGACGAAAAGCATCAAATTGTCTTAATTATACCTATGGCCAACTTATGTATAAAGTACCTAACCTACAAATGAGACATGGCTGTGAACTTGTAATTATTGGTCTTGCAGCAATGCAAGGTTGCTCTCATTTCAAAAGCCAAGGTTCCGGAAAACCTCGGAGAGATCTACAGTTATGGTAAACATCCAACTCCGCAGAATAATTAACGCATAAATAATTAATCGAATTTCCGTTTGCAAAATTCGCCAAATTAAGCTGCTGGAATCCAAATCTTACTTCGCATGCACAAGCCAAATTCCACTATTATCCAATTCTGTCACTTCTCGCCTCACAGTAGCTCAGTACATATTGGTATTGTAACGCAACGGTCTTAGTTTACATGGTGTTCTCCAACTTTTATCTGGTAAGTTTTCTGCCTCGGAACAAAAATACCTCAGAATGCACTTAATTTGACCACTATTTTTTTTTTCTTTTGACTGAGAGAAATAAAAGATACGAAGAACTGAATTCCACAGGTTTTCTTTTCGCAGAAAAGCACAAGATTAATTTCGTCCGCTTCTGATTGAGCTAGTCGCCAATGTTTACCTACGATAAA